AAAACCGGACTTTGCGTGGAACGCATTGAGCAATGCCCGGGGATAAGCGCAAGCCTTCCCAGCCTTCCCAGGCCTGCTGGAAATAAGTATTGATGACTTTTAGCTGCCTTGCTGTTACCTGTTACCTACTAACCTACTGTTTTCCTAGGTAGTATGCTAGTTCAGTTAGTCAGTCAGTTGGCTAGTGACAGGTAGTGAGTATGAAGAGTGACAGGTTTTTTGTTGCTGTGATTATTTAGTTCTGAGACAGTCGGGTAGAGACTTTCCAGATCCCTAGTCTCTGGGCCCTAAACTCCCAGTCCACTCGTTTAGTAATTTGCTTCTCTGACAGGCCCTGGTGCGGGTCAAGGAGGAGCGACGATCCGCGGACGACCCGGTGGTGGATCCAGATGGATGGACCGCCTCATCGCCGGCCCAGTCTGCTCAGAAGCCGAAGACCATGGTGTTGGTGTGCATCATGTGTGGCAAGAAGCCAAAGGAGACCAGATATTGTTTGTGATCTGCTAGTGCTGCTGCTAGTGACCGCTAGTGCTGATAGTGACTGCTACTGTGACCACTGGGCTGGTGCTGCCTATACTAGTTCTACTACTTACACCTAAAGTTGCAGTTGACTATGGAATTGAGAGTCAGGGNNGTGTCGTCCATCAAGATTTTGTTGCGAGGAGGTCAAGTGGGGCAACAGCTACGACAGTGGCAAGCCGAAGGGCCCAGGATGCTGGTCGTGCATCGTGGCGGCCTTGAGGCTCTGGCCACACCTGGAGTTCGAGGAGGTGTGTGACCTGTGTGCGAAGGATGCCAAGAGCGCCGACGAGATCGCCCGTGCAAAGGACCTCCTGGCTAAGCAAGAGGAGAACCCCTTCCAGCCGATGTCGACGGTAGAGTCCAACCGCGTGCAGGGGCACGAAGTTTACTTCAAAGTGGCATTCTTATCGGAGTCAGAAATGATCAAGTTTCTGCAGGTCACCCCGAAGGCACTTAAATTGACTGAAGTGACCCTCGAGCTTCAGCAAGAAGGATGCACAATGCGTGGATATTGTGTATCTTTGCTGGACTTGCCAGGCGACGTCAAAGCTGTTTGCCACAAGGTCAAGATCTTCAGCAGTACAACGATCAAGTTGGCAGATACGTTTCTGTCACCGGCTGACCAGCTCAGTCAACACCAAGGAGAGCGAACCTTCACCCACCTTGCGAAAGTGCAGGCCTCTCGCAATCCTCCAGCTTTCCGGCCGTTGCAGAAATCCAGCATCCCAAGCTACTGGGATCTTAAGGACAAGGCGGTGAAGCTCCTCGAGGACCGAAGAAAACCGTCATTGTGACATTATGCCATTATGCTATGCCGCTATGCCGCTTTGTATGTCATGTTGTAAGCCGAGCCATTTTTGAGCCCCAGCCGCTCAACACCGCGCCCTAGCCCTAACCGCCCTAACCGAACCCAAACCGCCTTGGCCCTAAAGGCCCTACAGCCGCAAACTAGGTTGCTCCATTTCATACCCTTTGTTTGTTGTGTCATCATCGGTGCCATAGCTATAGCCGCAGCCACAGTTGTGTCACAACCGTCATAGTCATAGCTGATGCTTTCTAACTCGTTGCATGCTTGCTTGCATCAACACCGCTGCCCTTGAACAGTATTCATGAAGGAGAGTCCTTCAGCAGGAATGCATGTTGTGTTCGTTGTTAGATGCTGCTAGATCATGCTAGCTGCTAGACTCTGCTAGTCATTGCTAGTCTCGAGAGAACCCTCCATTCGTTTGCCATGCTGCATTGCCTAGGGGTGTTTGAATCCTAAGACCCTAAAACACATCGGCAACAGTGTTACGGAGTTGCCACTGCCAGCTGCTTAGCGATGCATGTTATATCAACAAAGTCGATAAACCATACTTTTCCTGAAGACGTGGACTATTGACTCTCTAGTGACTAGTGATTACTGATGATTTTTGACTAGTGACTAGTAGTGGTAATTCTAGTAACTAGTAACTAGTACAAGAGTAGCATTTCAATGGGTAACCCGGGAAGGCCAGCTGGCATTCCAAACTCAAGCCATCTGGCAACCATGATCATAATGACAGTTCCTGCAGCCCCAAGTTTAAAGGTTTCTTAGAGTCGAGGTCGAGGGTCGTAGGGCCCAGAATTCAAGAGTCGTAGGTCTGTCCTGGTACCAGATTGTGTCAGGCTGTCTTTGTGTGCTAGAGGCTAGAGTCTAGAGTCTAGAGCCTTTGTACATGCACGATTTCACTTGTTCAAGTGACGTATATAGCTGCCATAGCTCAGTGGCTTGGTGTATGTGTAGTCAGTGGAGTGCAGACAGTGTAGACTCAGGGTAGACTACCGGGTAGACAATCAGTGTAGAGTGCACAGTGTAGCAGAG